AAGCTGCGGCTCATTCGATCATCACATAAAATATCGCCTCAACACACTTGTGCCCACAGGTCTGCTGCACTTTTCTAAAGTGTGGTGCGTGTGTAGTGACTGCCTGCTGGGTAGATAGGGAGGATGCAACAGCAGACGCGCAGCAGCAGGCGTATGTTCATTATGTGTACAACAGCTAGCTTGAAATAATGTATGTGCCGTACTGGAGATATACGTCAATACTACGATAGCAAGCCATTGGCGACGGCTTTCGGTTACCATTTCTCTGTTTCATCACTAGCATAGCATAGTATGCATATTATGGGATGGTGTCAGCGGTCGCACCCAACAGCTATAAACGAAGTACCGTCCGGTGTTTCTCAGAGGGAGACTTCCGAGTTGATTAGTTTACTAATGTTTTAATTTACTCAGCAGCTGGTTCAGGGTTTGCAGATTCAATAGGATTGCTGCGAAGGATGATTATCTTATTAAGTCCTCCCTCTGAATCACTCAACAAACGCAAATGCCAATGAGATGCACCCAAGAACGAGCTAGCCATAGGCCTAGGTAATCCCCTTGTAAACGCTCCTTCGCCAGCTGTGTTCGCAATAGCACCGCCTCTCATTGACGATCGATCGCCTCCGGACTGCTGGGGATGACAGACGATGGCTCCGCCGTCACCACTTCCACACTACTATTTTCCCCCCCTCTTTCTGACAATATTGCTTTGACACAAATCTTAAAATCTGCACGTTTTCTGAGTGAAACGAATATTTATGACCAGGCTCGCCCCTTCCCACGGAAGCAAGCACAACCTTCCTGCCTACAGGTACTCCTCCGTCTGTACGACCCCTAAGCAGTAAGGCAACTACACAAGAAATCCTAAACAGGCAGTCATATGTCTATATATCTGCACCACGCGCGAGCAAGCAATCGCATGTGCTTACCTCTGGCAGCTGGCGTAGTGGAGGTCGGCGTTGATCTGATCCAGCAGGCACACACGGTACGTGTGGGATTGATTGGAGGCACAGTGCTTTTAGTGACAAGAAATCAGATTCCTTAAGATAATAAATAAATTGGGGTGTTCGGGCTTGGGTAAAATGAATGGATTCACGTCGCTCCGGCTGCCCACGCAAGTTCCTTCCTTTGGGCCATAGGTGGCCAGAAAGTTGTGGCCGGAAATGCACTAATATCAGCACTCATAGCAGTTATCATTAATAAATCAACTGCACTCGGTAGATGCTGGAACAATAGGTGGTCGGCGGTGCTTGCGTGTTACGGTACAAGCACATGTAGCCTATGAGCTCCTATTTCGTGTTTTCCCACGCAGTAATTTCAGACTGTAGTAGCTGGTACACAGTATAGCTCTACAAATACGCGCGACGCGCGACCGCCAGCACCTCGAGAGGCCTTTTCAGCGGCCAGCTACTACATTTGGTATCGAGACCTTGTGAAGTCGTCGGTTCAACTTCGTCGGTTCAACTCCCACTAATCACGCTTGGTGGAATATGGGGTTTGGTGACTCAGTGAGCGATTATCGCGATAATAGTGTAGCTGAACCGACTGGACTGTCTCTGTGCCTGAAAAACCTTTAGACGGCTAGGCGCATGTGTGTGTGACATGACGTGACGTGGACTGGGCACCCACTGCCCGAGGGTAGGCGAAGGTAGGCACAGGCTGGTGGTATACGTGGCCGTAAGGACCCGAGACGGATCCCTTCAAAAGGGGGGGAATGTAGTAGCTGATACACAGTACGGCTCTACAAATATGCGCAAAGCGCGATCACCAGCATCTCGAGAGGCCTTTTCAGCGGCCAGCTACTACACAGACATACATCCATCGATGTGCATACGTACCCTCCTCCTGAGCACGGCACATTGATGACCTGGCCGATTTGCAGCCTGTTGGGGTCAACTCCCGGGTTCAAGGACTGAATGGCGCCCACGGTGGTGCCACGCCGCTGGGCGAGGATCCAATAGGTGTCACCAGCTTGAATGGTGTACTTGCAGCCTGCGTAAATTGAGTGAGGCAAGGGAAACACCCTACTTAAGCAGGAGCAGCACCGCTGCGGCTCATTCGATCATCACATAAAATATCGCCTCAACACACTTGTGCCCACAGGTCTGCTGCACTTTTCTAAAGTGTGGTGCGTGTGTAGTGACTGCCTGCTGGGTAGATAGGGAGGATGCAACAGCAGACGCGCAGCAGCAGGCGTATGTTCATTATGTGTACAACAGCTAGCTTGCAATAATGTATGTGCCGTACTGGACATATCCGTCAGTACTACGATAGCAAGCCATCGGCGACGGCTTTCGGTTACCATTTCTCTGTTTCTCTGGAAACTATATATGGTTGCAAACATGAAAACCAACCCGACACTGTTACCTGGCCCTTCCCTTACGGAAGGAGCCATTTGTCGAGTTGTTGTTGACTTTTGGGGCCGCATTCAGGGTTTCGCAGCTCTGGGAATTACACAGAAAGGTTGGGATTCTGTTGGTGCACATCACCCCTTCTTGCAGATTGTGTCAGGCAAAATGTTATGCTCACGGGAGCGGTCACCGATAGACGATTAGCTATCACCTAAT